GGAGCCTGGAGAGGGTGGGATTTGGGGAGGGGAGGAACTTTGGACTGGTGTAATGTCATAGACTCCACCCTCCAGTCATTTCCTCCACGAGAACCACCATTGCCAGCCTCCAGGTGAGGACTGGAGATCACCCAGAATTACAACTGTTGTCCAGGTGACAGAGATTAGTTCCCCAGGATAAAATGGCTGTTTTGGACGTTTGAGTCTATGTCATCATACCCTGCTGAGGCTGCTTGCCACCCCAAGCCTCACTGTCCCAAGGCTCCACCCCCAAATCTCCAGGAATTTCCAAACCTGGAGCTGGCAGCCCTAAGGTGAATTGATCTCTATAGCTGGGAGATCCGTTGTGATTCCCAGACTGCTGCCACTGATGCTGTGGGGGGAGAGGAAGCAGGTGGGTGGCTAGGAGCACTGCCACCACTGCTGCTGCTGCTCTGTGGAGTGGGGATGAAGCAGAAGGAGGCTGGGAGAGGGATGAGGGCAGAAAGAAAGAATGATGGGGTGGGGGCAGAGAGAAAAAAAGTGATGAAGTGAGGAGGCAGAAAAACAAAGAGAAAGATGACAGGTCACAAAGAGAGAGGAAGTCACATGCATGGAGGAGAAATAGAGAGTAAGAAAAGGGGGGCAGAGGGGAGAAATAGTGAGAGAGGTAGGGGGTGAGGAGAGGAAGCAAAGGTGTGATGAATGAGATAACCATCCTACAAGTTTCTTGTGGGTCTCCACTTGTGGAACCATAATTTAGATGCTCCTTATGTCTGAAACCTGACACTTCAGCTGGTCCTAAAGCCAAATCATTTCTGCATGCTGAATAGCAGGAAGTAACATGTGTAACACAAACTGCAGTTCCACTAAGCGAGAGCAGCTTCACAAACCCTATTGGCAATGTTAGCCTGCTGGACATGAAATCTAAACCTGAACAATCCACAGATATCACTGAACCTTCTACAGAATATGGTTAGGATGAGAGCACTACTGAATTAGTTGACTAGCAATTTATTAGCTAGTGTAATAATCTGAATTTTCATCTGGCTAATACTCGTAACTTATAAATATATTGTTAATATAGACCATGACTACTTTAAAAATCAACAGTCTCTTGTGTTTTTTAAAATAAATTTCACTATTCTGACTGCTTTCCGGCTTCTTCGGATGAACACAATCTCTCTTCTGGTGTATCATTGCAGGATTTGCAAGCCGTCTCTACAATACTTTTTGCATAAATCAAAATATGAACACACATTC